AGATTTTTAAAAGTGAACCTGATGGGCCAATTCTAAACTTCATTTGGAAGAGACAATGTATGAATAATGAAGACATTTTGAAAAAGATTATAATGGGGAGAAACTTGCCTTACCCAGATATTAAAATATACTGTAAAATAATGACATATATGATAGTAACACCAGTATAGACAGATCAATGGGACAGTGTGTGAATCTACAAACAGTCCCTTCCGCTTCTAGTTAACAATACTGGAAAAATATTCTCTAGATAAAAGAGAGTCACATAAGGATTGTAACGCTGTGTAACAGAAAAAATTAAAACAACCAATATCCATCAATAGGAGAATGATTATACCTCTTTTTGTGGCATAGGAATACTATACAACCGGTTTACATAGATGTATAATTTATATTGCTGTACTGTAAAAATATCACTGAGTTGAAAAAAAATCCAGTTGTTGCGTTAGAAAAACAATATAATATTTATATTAGAGCACACAAACAACATTATAAATCTTAGGACATATCCGTGTGCACATACATATCAAAAAAGAATTTATAAGAATATACATCAAACTCACTGTAGACTTTGAGGTATGAATATGACCGGAAGAAGGATGGAGTTTGACCTTTTTTGTATATACTCCTATACAATATTGTTTGAAGTTTAAAATTTTGTTAAATGATGAAAATGCAGAAAAGCCGTTATTGACAAAATAGATTATTGGAGAAAGGTTTTAAGGTGGTCTACAAGATGGTTGGAGAATAGATTGGCTGGATCCTGACAACCCAGCAACTGGTGAATCAAAGTAGGATGCCTAAGGATGGAGAACCCTTAGCAGCTTAGAAGAAGTAACTCTTGAGCAGTGTTGCCTTTCATTTTTCATCCTCTTACCCCCACCTGACTTGTCATGTTTCCCCCTCATACATTTAGTCACTAATCTCAGTTTCATGTTTTCACCGCAACACAAAAAATGTTAATTCCCTAAGTTTCATGTCCTCTGGACATAACATTTCCTGCTCTTCCTCACCGCTCTCATTTGCAAACCTTTGGCCTCCTCCCCACCTCTGTCTCCCCAAACAGTCTAAAGAAAGTTATAAATATTTTTGCTTCGTGGAATTGTATCACTTCAATCTAGTAATAAGGGTAGCTACCTCATACCTATGATCAGATTAGTCCTTCACTTAATTAAACACAGAAATACTTATATTCTTTAATGGAATGCATTTTTCTTGATCGATAAATATTCATCCAACTACAAGGTATAAGAGAAAAAAGAATAGAAAGGGTAAAGAGAATATAAATCACAGAGCAATGGACACCCATGCTCTGTGAGGTCGGGGTTTTCTCAAGTCTTGTAGGAAAGATGGCTCAAATCGTCAGGTTGTGATCAAGTTCACACTATGATTATTATAAACGATCAACCCTGAGGGTTTTAATGTCTCAATGGTAGACTCTCCTTCCTAGAAGCTGAAATGCCCTTATATGCCTCCCTGGAATTTTTTGGCTGCTTCTCCTGAGAAAGAAACTGAAGGTGGTGATTGACAGAGCTATGGGCCTGGTCTCTACAAAAGCAGATACACTACCAGCTCCTGAAAGGTCCTGGCAGTTTCTGCAAGGAGAGATACTTTTTAGTTTAAAAAAATGTTATCAAATGGAGAGCAGTTAAACAATTTGCTATTGTAAGTCTTTCTAGGGAGGAACTAGGGTGGTGGTTTCTAATCTGTTAGGGAAGGAGGTAGGAAAAGAAGTGGGCAAGGGTACTGTCCAGAACCCAGGTATTACACACAGCCAATGCAGCAATTACTGCAGCATGTTGTAATTAGCCAACCCCAAGCTGTGGCCACTTTGAGCCCCAATTAAGAAAACAAACAAACTACAAAATGTTTCATCTTGTGGATGGAAAGGAGATATTGTACTGCAGCTCTTTCAGGATGCCTTCCTAACCATACCCCAACCTTGCAAGGAGCAGTAAAATCACTTTTGCAAATGTTTTCTGCCTTAGCAGAGAAATGACATAATCCGCAAATGAGAGGCTCAGACAGGTGACCCAAGGCAGTGAGGAAAAAATGTGGAACAAAATTCTGGCAATTGTCCAAAGCATCAAAGCATTTGAAATAACTGTAGGTTTTCCTCTGTAAGCCATAAAAATGGGTGAGATGAAACCAAAAGATGCAAGCCTCCTTTGACTCCAAGGAGAAAATATCTAGAAATAGACAGTAACTCTCCTAGCCCTGTTTTACTGCATTCAGGGGGAAAATCAGAAAAAACCATGTGGGTGTCACTGCAACTGTTTCCTGGGTTTTATGTGGAAACTGATGCCTTTAATGTCCAAGTTGTGATGGCAGTTGGCCTGGAGCACGGTCCCCATGGTGTGAAGAAAATGTAAAAAGAGATGCTCTTAAAAAGACCGCTATACATCAACAAACTATTATAAAACAATATGTAGATGAGTTGCGTGTAAAGAAAGGAGAAACAGAAGGATTCAGATTCTCTTTCAAATACACCCTAGCTTAAACATAAAGGAGGAAAACATTGAGTTGTCAAAATAGACTTGAGGTTTTGCTTAACCCAGAAATTCTGGAGAATAGTATGAGATGTTTTTGCCAAATCCTAAATACTGCCGGGAGGTGGTGGTGGGGGGGGGGGTCTTGGTAAGCTTTCCCTCTAACCAATTAGATAATTACCATTTCATTCTGTAGCTTTCTCTATTGTTTCTTCCCTTTTTTATCTTTTTTTTTGAATGCAAACAAAATAATTAGCCCGTCTCCGGGTAATTTTGCTAATATTTTCATAATTAAATAATTACTTCAACCCCTGAATTAAACACTGCCCTTGCTGTCCCTGTGGATACAGTAGGCTGCCAGCTGTTTTAAATAACGCTTGAGCTCGGTCAGGTTAAGGACTCAATTTATGACCTTATAAATTAACACAAGGAAACCTACTCCATAATGCAACAGACAATTCTATTTATAATGCTTAATTAATCCCCTCCAGCCTCTAACAGAACCCACTTGTGACCTTTTATTTCAACCTCACCCAAATGCAAGTCTCCTGAGATGAAAAGTGTTAATATGTGAATGTGGACAGAATTTGCCGGCATTATGGGCAAGTATTAAATTGCTCACAGTCTGGACCCATTGGTTCCTGGTAGCTCACTCATCAAAAGTAAGAAGGAAATGGGAAGGTGGGCAGCACTGATGAAACTCTTCATCGAAATCCTCAGCTGCAGAGAGGTAGAGAGAAAGAAAATGCCCATATCTAACATTGCCTACAAACACCTGCTCTGAATTTCTGTCTTGGCAGATGAGGCAACCAAGAGAAGGTATCAGAGTTGTTTCAAAGGATGGCTGTAGTGGGGCCATCCTGGGTGGTTTCATTTATCTGCTGTCCTTAGTACCCTAAGGCTGCTTTTTTTTAGACTGATACAGAAAATCCAGGGATAACCAATTCAATGCTGTCTTATCTAACGTATTACAAACAGAGCAGTGTTATCTGGAAAATTCTGAGTACCCAAGAAAGCTACAGGGTGTGGGCCAAATATAGTTTGCAGAGATATATGAAGTTCCCCGAGGGACAGGCCTGAGAAGGATCAAGGAAGGCATGTGCACTACTTGGACATGTTTGTGGGCAGAGAGAGCCATAGTGACCTGAATGCAAAGGAAAGTCCACACTGTAGCCTGGAACCTTGGAATATGTGTGGAGAGCTTTATCAGCTTTTAGGGCGGTTCAGCGTCATTCCATATGTCCTTGTGAAGCTGGAAAATAGCTTTCCTTTTTTGCTCCTCGTATTCAAGAGTCAGCATAACGTGATGATTTTGGCTCTGTTGTAAGCACTTAGGCAAATTCCTTAATTTCTCATTGCCTCTATTCTTCCATCTGCAAAGTTGGAATCATAACAGTACCTATCTCACGAGGTCATTGTGAAGACTAAATAGAGTTAAAACTTTCAGAGGCTTTAAATGGTGCCTGGGGCATTATAGGTGCTATGTTAGAATTCGCTGTTATAATCACAATAGCTCTGCAATACTTTTTCCTCTGGGTTTTCCCTTTCTTTTCTCAGTGCTGCCATCTTAGCCGGGTCAGGCTGCCATGACCTCCTTCTTGAATAGGTTCATAATTCATTTCTTTATTCCAAATCTATATTTCTCTCAATAAGTCAAACACAGTATTACTACTCCAATGTTTCAAAAGTCTACCTCTGACCCTGTCCCTACCTTATTCAATCGCTCTGCAGAGTTCATCACATAAAGTCTAAACTCTGGAGCCTTAATTTCACGCCTCATTCCATCCTTACCTGTTAATCCTAGTTCCATTCTCTAATCTTACTGTACCTTCTCATGAATCTACACTCATTTGGAGCCATGCTATTTTCCCTTAGTTTGCTCTACCTGTCCAGGTATGTTCTTGTTTTTACACCTGTGTTCGCTGTCCTTTCCATTTGGAATTTACTTTCCCCACAGTATCTTCCAGTCCAAAGCCTACTTATCCTTCAAAACCAGGCCTGGATGTCACCTCCATCCCAGGGACCGTTACCGATCCCACCATTGTACCTTCCCTTTGCTCTTTCCTGACCTCCAATGTACTTTATCTGGATTTTTGAAAAACCTCAACCCTGCTACCTGGCTTTAGTTATTGGTTTTTATTACCCCTGTTTAGAATGTTCCATATCACAGCCCCTCAGATCCTTGGATCAAGTCTGATTCTTCAGTGCCTCCTACTCAGACCTGTCCCCAGGCATGCTATGCATAGAGCAGGTCCTCTGCAAACATGAATGAAACAGGAATTGAGGGGCTTGAAATGACAGCCTGGTCTTGTGGTTCTTCCTTTTTGTGACATTCTCAGTCACTTGACTGCTCCTTTACATGAGTGCCTATGGAAATATTTCAACGCCAAAAGCCAATGGTATAAAAACATTCCTATCATCAAGAAAAACAAACACATAAAATGCATAATTGATTCTCAAACAGCAGATTTTTTTTAAAGGAGTGATGAAAAAATGTCTTGGATCCAGTACCTTTATACCTGGTTATTACAGCTGCATTGACGCTAAGAGGCTCTTGGAAGCTGACAGTGAGTGATGTGCTGCTGGTTACCATGAGACAGACGTTGGTTGGCATCTCAGGAGCTCCTGGGACAGAAGGAAAAACACGAGGATCTTAACATAGCAAATCCTTTTCAAACAACGTTCCTCCCTCTTCAGAGGATACCCTGAAACACACACTATGGACACATCTGTTTGTAGAGCCTAATAGCTTTTGCTTTTGAACATTTTCATTAGATGTCTCAATGGCTTTTATTTGTTGTCATTGTGGTCTTATTTGAGCATTAGAACATTTTCTGAAAAGGTAAATAATACCAGTTAAGCCTTCCTAAAGTATCCTGCAAACACAATAGGAGATCCGGCTGGATCAGTGAAGAGAAGGGCAGGAAGTGATAGCAGGATCCTACATTGTCAGTGGAGACCCTTTAAAGTACCTCGTTTCACTGGAGTCTTTTTGCAGCCCTGCCAGGTAGACAGGGCAGGTAATAGCACACTCACTTTCCGTATGAGGAAACTGCAGCCCCAGTTGGCCAAATTCCTTGTTCAGGCCAGGATGAAAGCCCCTGGCTTCAGATGCCTACTTCTGGGCTCTTTCCAGTACAGATAGAATTCTAACTCACCTTGCTCTCAGGCTGTCTCCTAT